CACTCCCACCTGGGTGACAGAGCAAGACTCGACTCCACCTCAAAAAAAAAAAAAAAAAAGTGACATGATAGGTATCTATGGAATGGGTCACAAATTTGGGTATGCATTATAATCACCTGGAGATCATGCTAGACCTACCGAATCAGAAACTTTAGGTGACCAGGCATCTGTAATCTTTGAAGCTCTTCAGATGATTCTGTCATCTCCTGCAGACTGAGGACCACTGAGCTGCCATCATCTCTTTGTTCCTTTGTTTTCTCTTACACAAAACTTTATTGCTTAATGAAAAAAGACTTAAGCAATTCCCGTTTCCTTCCCTGTTGGTCCTAGTTTTCAGGACAGATTATATGCAAGCCTGAAAAGAAAACTAGAAAGCAGAAGCAGATTTTTGGTAGTTGGTTGTAAATTTCCTTTTAAATTCTTCACCTCCATGCAAATCAAAGTAGGACTTATTTTTAGCAACTTGATGAATACAATTTACCAAAGTTTATTACATTATCTTTTATTATAATTAGACAGGAAGGTCTGTAGAATTGTCTGAATTTTCTTTCTCATTTACCGTAGTTCTCTTTCTAGGAACTCATAGTACAGAATCAGGCTACAGGATATATAGGTTATTTTGATGCTCTATTTGTGCCCACTTCTATATTTTTGTATAACTTCAGCAGTGTATACACTTTTAACCTTTTTGGAGACATTCTTAGGAATAGCAGCCTCTTAGTGGGCTTTCTGTTGTAGTTTTCCTAATATTTGCTCCCTGGCGACCAGGAGACCTATGTCAGTGGAGGCAACTCATCTGAGGCTGAGCTGAGCCAGGAAAGGTGGGCAGGAAGGCAAGGTGAAGGCCCCCTTCCCTCCTTCTTGACCACATCTCAAGAGAGAATATTTATGTCTCCCATACCCTTTTTTTTCCTCTTAATAGCACATTATGGACTTGCACCTATGGACATGAGCTTGAGCCCTCACCTGATTTATAATTTATCTATGACTTTATGGTTGTTTGATCTTGAGAAGGAATGACAGTCCCTGAACTTTTCAAAGACCATTTTCTATATGGCTGAATTGTACTGGACTCTTTGTAGTATGATGATATGATGTCCCTTAATAGCTTTTTCATGGCTCTAGGAGAGCAATACAGAGCACAGGACCTGTCTAGAACAAGCAGGATGCCTACAAATGATCCCTAGCGTCCCAGGGTGTTGCACAGTCCCTTATCTACCCATTTCCATCGGTTGAAGTGCCTCCTAAGACCAAAATGTAAGGAAGGAAGGCATCTCTCACCTCTTCTTGCCTTGTTCATCAAAATGTTTCCATTCCATCTCATCCAGTTGTTGCATGGTAGACTATATTTGGATACTAACTTAAGCAGATGGGTACAGCTCAACTCTATGCAAGCTAGCTAATGCGCTTTCCCCAGGTAGCGTAAAATGTTAACTTGATTGCAATGCATAGACTCAAAGAAAATGATAATTAACATTTTGATGTGTATTATTCAAGCTTCTGTTTTAGAATGCTGCAAATTCTCTCTTCTCCATACCTACTTTTTCTGCCTAACAGAGTATATATGCTTTTCATTCCATCAGATAGCCTTCTAAACTCTGTGACTTATGTAGAAGCCAGGACCTCATTATTGTGCATTTAACTTATTTCTGAATTTCTGTAAAAACAAGGTGGTGATGAAAATACTTAGAGCAATGAGTTTCATATGCCTTTCCATTATATCTTTAGAATAAATGCACATAGATCAAAACAAATGCACAATTGAAAAGCTTTTGATACATATTACTAAACTGTCTTCCAGAAAGATTCTATCAATTACCAATTTTTAAAATAATTAATATACTTCATTTGCAAAATGATTAAGTTGCAAAAACAAAGGCACCACAGGAATTTTAAATTAGACTTTTTTTTAATCTAGAAAAAAATTTAATGTAATTGCTTAGTTCAGCAAAAGCTGAGAGAGGTCTCAGAACCCTGAACAACAGTATTGACTATTTTATTTTATTTTATTTATGTTTTTAAGTTCCAGGGTACATGTGCAGGATGTGCGGCTTTGTTACACAGGTAAACGTGTGCCACTTTGGTTTGCTGCATAGATCAACCTAGGTATTAAGCCCAGCATGCATCAGCTCTTTCCCCTAATGCTCTCCCCTCCACTGCCCTCCCCCAAGGCCTCAGTGTGCATTATTCCCTTCCCTGTGTCCCTGTGTTCTCTTGTTTAGGGAACATGCAGTGTTTGGCTTTCTGTTCATGGTTAGTTTGCTGAGGATAATGGCTTCCACCTTCATCCATGTCTCTGCATAGAACATGATCTCATTCCTCTTTATGCCTATACAGTATTCCATGGTGTATATGTACCACATTTTCTTTATCCAGTCTATCGTTGATGGGCATTTGGGTTCGTTCCATGTCTTTGCTATTGTAAAGAGTGCTGCAGTGAACATACATATGCATGTATCTTTATAATAGAATGATTTTTACTGTTTGGGTATATACCCAGTAATGGGATTGCTGGCTCAGATTATATTTCCAGTTCTGCATCTTTGAGGAATCTCCACGCTGTCTTCCACAATGGTTGAATTAATTTACATTCCCACCAACAGTATAAAAGCATTCCTATTTCTCCACCACCTCACCAGCATCTGCTGTTTCCCAACATTTTAATAATCGCCATTCTGATTGGCATGAGATGGAATTATTAGTATTTTTTGAGAGTTCCCGGAATCCTTACCCATTTGAAAAATTATTGTTTTTAAAAAGTTCCTGGCTGGGCACAGTGGCTCACACCTGTAATCCTAGCACTTTGGGAAGCCGAGGTGGGTAGACCGCCCCGAGCTCAGGAGTTTGAGACCAGCCTGGGCAACATGGTGAAACCCCGTCTTTACTAGAAATACAAAAAAAATTAGCCGGGTGTGGCAGCATGCACCTGTAATTCCAGCTTCTCAGGAGGCTGCGCCAGGAGAATGCTTGAATTCGGGAGGTGCAGGTTGCATTCGGGAGGAGAATGCTTGCATTCGGGAGCTGAGATTGCACCACTGCACTCCAGCCTGGGTGACAGAGCCAGACTCCATCTCAAAAAACAACAGCAACCAAAAAATTTCCTGCTAATTTTATGGGGAAAAATATTCTCCGCAGTTTAATTTGCATTTCCTTGTTTAATACAGAAGTCTTTTGTGACTATATTATAAAAATATAAGTTTATTTAGTGCATTGGTTAAGTGGTGCTGTTCTGAAGCCTGAGTGTTCACTTACTGGTGACCTCGTGTAAATTCCTTGATCTCCCTATGCTCACACCAACTCTGATAATGGCAGTACCTTCTCACAGAATCTGTGTGAAAACTAAAGAGCATATCATATGAAAGATGCATAGACAATATCGGGCATATATAACATGCATTTATGTTCTCTGTCATTTATATCTTCTCTGAATTGCCCTTTCACTGTCTGGGTAAGTAGATTTTTTGGTAGCTTAGAAATACATATATTTTGTATCTTAACCCCTTATCTGTCATATATTATAATTTCTCCCCAGTTGGTGGTTTGTCTTTCAATTTTGTTAAAATGAGTAAACAGTTGAATATCAAGAAATCCAGACCAGGTGAAGGCATAGTTTTGGTCCAGCCTGGATCTTTTTTCTGCCCGTCAACCATACTGTTAGGAGAATCACCTTCCCCATATTGAGAAGGTCTGGTATTGATTATAGCCACCAGATATCAGAAATGGCACTTTAAGCAGCTTACATTGTTATATTAAAAATGACCATCATAGAATAAAACTTCTGCTTAATTTATGTGAATAATGATCATGGTAGATGAGAGGCCATGGTTAATGTTTCACCATTTTCCATTTATCACCAATTCCAACTGTCAGCATTCCTTTAGTGGTGATATAAAATTAATTACTTCAACTTGAAAGAAGCTTTTAATTTGAGACCAAGAACCCTGATACATTGTGTAACCATTATGTGTTACCACTATTCCCCTGTTTGCTGCAAATTATGTAGGAGAAAAGGAATCTTTCTCGTCATGAAGTCTCATGTATAAAGGCAAGATGTTCCCTATATTAGCATATATACATGCTACTAAAAATGAAAGTTTTTTACTTCATTGGAAAAAATATGGACATAGAGACTATTACTTTGCTTTACTAAGCAGAGGAATTACCAAAACCATCCTTGTACAAACATGAAAATTTTGTTTGAGATGCGAACTTGTTTCAAAAAGCTATTAAAAGTGCGCAAACATTGATGCTTACGTGATGGACAAATGGGAGTGTGTTATATTATTGCCATTAGGCCATATATAATTGGAATTTTCCATATAAAAGCATTCTAAAAACCAGTGTTATTAACGATGCTTATCATTAGGGAATGTTATTGAGAAGAGGAGTAAGGAAACTTCAACTTCTAAATTTTACATTTAGATTTCTGTCTTTATGTTGCTGTTGTCATTTTACTTCAAGCGTGTTTTATTTTTACAACATCTTTAAGAGAAAAAAATTTAAATCATGATTTGCATGGTAACTATTTTAAGAGTGGTTAGTATGTAGAGGAGGGGCTGCTTACCAGTGTTGAAATAGACACAAAATAGGCAACATTTGGATGTTGGCCCCAAAGCCTTGTAGGTTGTTGTCATTCAAAAATACTTATGCTTGTAAGTCTTTCTTCTTCTTTTTCTTTCTTTTCTGTGTGTGTTTTAATTTGCGATGATTGGAAAACATAAAACAAGAAAAAGATGGTTTTGCAATGCAATCTAAAAGTTTAAATTGCTGATTGAGTTCTGGACGGCTGTGATGGTACTGCAGATGCCTATAGGCCTTCAAATACAAGTTGTTTGGCCATCTTACTTCTTTCCTTGTAAGCCAATGTCAGAACAGTTACCTCCTTTAATGCACTTATTGGAATAAAAAATTGGGAGTGCTGAGAAACACGTTTCCGTTTCAGTCCCCTGAAGGCAAGTATAACCCTCAATAGAGTTTAACTTCATTGTCTCTGCTTGCAGGCAAAATGAAAGACCGGCTAGCAGAACTTCTGGACTTGTCCAAGCAGTATGACCAGCAGTTCCCAGACGGGGACGATGAGTTTGACTCGCCCCACGAGGACATCGTGTTCGAGACGGACCACATCCTGGAGTCCCTCTACCGAGACATCCAGGACATCCAGTATGAAAACCAGCTGCTGGTGGCCGACGTGAAGCGGCTGGGAAAGCAGAACGCCCGCTTCCTCACGTCCATGCGGCGCCTCAGCAGCATCAAGCGCGACACCAACTCCATCGCCAAGGCCATCAAGGCCCGGGGCGAGGTCATCCACCGCAAGCTGCGCGCCATGAAGGAGCTGAGCGAGGCGGCCGAGGCCCAGCACGGCCCGCACTCGGCGGCGGCGCGCATCTCGCGGGCGCAGTACAACGCGCTCACCCTCACCTTCCAGCGCGCCATGCACGACTACAACGAGGCCGAGATGAAGCAGCGCGACAACTGCAAGATCCGCATCCAGCGCCAGCTGGAGATCATGGGCAAGGACGTCTCGGGCGACCAGATCGAGGACATGTTCGAGCAGGGCAAGTGGGACGTGTTCTCCGGGAACCTGCTGGCCGACGTGAAGGGCGCGCGGGCCGCCCTCAGCGAGATCGAGAGCCGCCACCGCGAGCTGCTGCGCCTGGAGAGCCGCATCCGCGACGTGCACGAGCTCTTCCTGCAGATGGCGGTGCTGGTGGAGAAGCAGGCCGACACCCTGAACGTCATCGAGCTCAACGTGCAGAAGACGGTGGACTACACCGGCCAGGCCAAGGCGCAGGTGCGCAAGGCCGTGCAGTACAAGAAGAAGAACCCCTGCCGGACCATCTGCTGTTTCTGCTGTCCCTGCCTCAAGTAGCAGGCCGACCCGGGCCGCCGCCCATCCCAGACCCTGGAGCGCGCTGGGAAGGACGCACCAACAGTTGCCCCAACTCTTAACGGAACTCAGTCTTTAGAGAAGAATTGCGAGGTTCAAGAATTGCAAACCAGCCCCATGCTTGGAAGGATGGTTAGCACACCGTCCGGTGGTTCTTCAGTAAAGACAGATTCCTACAAAGTTGTGCAATGTCATTATATGTTACCCTTGCACTCTTACCCTCTTGATGGAAGCCAAGAAAAGAACTGACGTTGTATCTGACTATAGGGTAAATGTCTGAGGCCTGCCTCCTAATAAAGACTCAAGGAGGAAGTCAGTTGTGCGTCTGCGAATAGAATGGACTCATGATGGAAACTTCAGTTCATTTACCTTGTACGGAAAATTCCCTGGTTCTGTTCCATTTTGAGCAAAATTGGCCTTGGGAAAAAACATGTTCCTTCTTTCCGATTCTTCATCCAGCCTATGCTATGCAATTCCTCCCCAAGGATAGATCTTATTTCTGCTCATTTCCCCTACTTATGAAAATCACACCAAACACTTAGTATTTCCTTATCTCTTTCACTTTTTAAATATCTTTCACCAGGTTATATTTTGGGATTATTTTTCCAAATGTTTTTAAGCACTGAATATCGAACAAGCACTCAAAATGAAGTATCAGTCGTGTTTTATGTATTTTTCACTGATAAAAATTATTTAACATTTATCTTTTTACTTGATTACATATGCACATATATATGTAAATGTAAGATACTAATATTCACAAATGTGTGTATATAATGATCAATTGGTTTAGCTTCTTTTTTGTAAGTATGGTATATAAATTTCAAGAAGAACACTTTCTGGCTCTTGGTATTGATTTGCTTGTTTTGAGTCTGTTTCACTCCAGTTTTCCCCTTTTTAGTCAAAACTTCATATTAAACAACTCTGCATTGGTTATGGTGGTAGACAGGTGTTGAAAGCTGAAAATGTATACAGAGCTAGAGACAACTAACATTATTGGAAATATTGCTTTTGTTTCACTGTGGACCATTCCTTTCATGCATAGAAATGAAGTAATTTAAGTAAAAGAATTTTGTTTTCCAAGCAAGCTTAATAAACGTTACATTATAAATATATTTTTATACATTTGTATTGACCATTTAGTTTACTTTCTTAATTACTGTTAAAATTTTTTTTCTTTTTTCTTTTCTTTTTTTTTTTCCTTTTGAGACAGGGTCTCCCCCTGTCACCCAGGCTGAAGTGCAGCGGCATGATCACGGCTTACTGCAGCCTTAGCCTCTCAGGTTCAAGTGATCCTCCTACCTCGGCCGACAAATAACTGAGACTACAGGTATGTGCCATCATTTCCAGCTAATTTTTGTATTTTCTGTAGAGACAGGATTTGGCATGTTGCCCAGGCTGATCTCAAACTTGTGAGCTCAAGCAACGCCTACCTCGGCCTCCCAAAATGCTGAGATTGCAGGCCTGAACCACTGCTCCAGGCCAGAATTTTTTTCTGCTAGCTACTTGAGACTGCCACATCTCGATGGAACTGAGTGGAGAGAAAAAAGAATGAAAAACTCAAAGAATTCCCACGAGAGTGTCTTGCTTTCCCTCCTGTGGGAGGGAAAATTGGCCTTGGGAAAAATCATGGCCATACTTCAGGAAAATCATAAGGCTTTAGAGATATGGTTTACTCTGCAAACTTTTTAATGCCCTTAAACACATTTACCATGTTTCCTGGCCTTCCTCTGTGTCAACTCTTAATTCTTCCTAATCATTGTTTAGTACATGAGCAAGTTTAGTACTGGTCATATTTCTTAGGTCCTTCAGAAGGTGGAGTTTTAAAAGAAGGAGGAACAGGGGTATATGAATTCTTTAGATCACTGCCTGACCTGCTTGTGACTAGGAAAATCTATCCCCTATGTCCAATTTTAATTTCATGGTTAAATTTGAGAATTGTGGAAACCAAAGCCCGCAAGGCTATTCTCACATTTCTCTCAATTTCTTTCTCAGCTAACTCCAGGGATATGTATCACCTTTGACTTAATTCCCTTTCTCTAAGGGAAAGGGGAAAAAAGTTCACGTAGCTACATTGCAATGCTTTTTATCATAGAGGAGAGACATTGTAAATAGAAATTGCAAGCCAGTTTCTACCAAAAAAGAAGAGCTCATAAATCTGACTTGTTTGAACCCATAAAGCATTTTCTTTGCTTTGAGCCATCATAAAAGTAAGCGAATTTTCAGGCTCTGTATATATTTTAATTCCCCGTATTTTATATTGGAGAGTTTGGTACAAACTGCACATCACTGCACCAAAAGAATGAGTGAACTGTTGCCTATGGAAAAAGAACACTTTTTCTTCCTGCTGTTTGGTAACCATCTCAATGTGACACAGTGGTTGAGAGTGCAGATTCCAGACCCTGTTTCTTAGATTGCAACCTTGACTCTGCCACAAACTAGCTATCTGCCTTAACTTAGTTTCTCTGTGCTTTGGTTTCCTCATCTGCAAAATGGAGATAATAGTACTTACCTCATAGAGCTGTTGTGAAAAGTAATAACTGAATGTGTAAAAGCACTTAGAACAGTGCCTGGCACATGAGAAGTGCTTTGTTCATTATTGTTGTTATTACATAATTTTCTCTTAGACTGAGAGCACTATTAGTGACACAAGTAAATTTATAATTTTTAGGTTCAGAGGAAAAATAAAGGCTTATTTTTTGTTAACAGTCTTAATAAATAATAAAATGAAATAAAGAAGCCAAGACCCCTATCTTCTGTGAATATTAGAGCTTCTTTTTTCTGCAGTGATAAAACTGTTTTCACTATGGCATTTCTATTCCTGTGTATATCCAAACATGTACTGAAGAACAAATGAGATGTTCCACAAAAACAGGTAAGCAGGAAGTAGGTGTTCTCAGTTTGGCAGGTGTTCTTTCCTAATTCTTCCCAAGTTGTGAGTCAGAAGGTCCCAGAAGGAGTTCTGGGAAGTTGTAGAGGCTGGGTCACAGACCTAAGGGGAGGAATCATTCGGCCCACTGCACATCCTGGCCTGTTCACCAAAGTTCTTCCCGGCTGTGACTGCCATGGCAGGCAGTGGGTGAAATGCTGGCTTTTTCCTTAAGAAAGTGTGATCTAGTGCCACCAAGAGATGCTGTAGAGCTGGCTTTACCAATCTGATGATGCTTGCTTGGCAACTCTGAAAGGTGACTTTGGCCAAGAAGACTTTGTGGCAATTCTGCAAATTTCATGCACTAATGTCTTTTAGGGTAGAGAATGAAAGAACAAATCACAAAGAACAATAGATTCTTCAGGGGCTGAAGGTAGGAATCTTTTATAGCTATTTTAGCATACACATTTCAACCAGCCAAATATCAAATTTTATAACTACAACAAACCCACAGATTATAGGTGGTAACAACTCCAGAAATGTCAGAACTAGGAAAGGTACCCATCCAGGATGCATTGGTATCCAGTATAATATGAATTAGAATTTTTAAAATGTCAATCATTCAAACATTTTTGAACTGTGACATCACAGGAATAATGTTATGGCCTTTTCAGGTAACAACTTAGAAAGAGAACAGTGCTGTTTTCATATCAATGCCTTTACGTTTATTTAAAAATTGTCCTAATGCTTTATAGTTAAATGTCATATGCAAATACATTCAGGCTCTAACATATAAAGTTCCTAACTTGACAGGAAACTACTGAAGATTGTGTGCAGCTTAAAAATAATAAAATAGGGTAACTATAGTCTTGATTTGTATGTATAAATTCTACCATTCTATATTCTACCATCAGACATATTTCTACTCCTTTCCTTGAAATATGCAAAGTATCTCCAACTGTAGCATGAAACTCATTCATTTGTAATCAAGATGATAGTTTGAAACATCCAGTTGTAATCAGAGTAACAGTTGACTTACTTTTGATAGCAAAGTTGGAAATCATTGCAATTGATAAATGGGGCTATTGGAAATGGAAAATGAATAGGATCTAGAATGTAACTTCATTATATAAATGTTGAGTGTCTTTATTATCAATGCATTATTAAGAATGGGCAAGATGTCCTTATACACTAGCTTTTGTAAAGTCATGTATCTATTGGTAATAAAGATTTTCTGAACTGATATTCTGAGTGAGACTACAAAGAATGCTTTAAAGCCAGTGATATCTGGACAGGCATGGTGGCTCACCTGTATAATCCCAACACTTTGGGAGACCAAGGCAGGCGTACCACTTGAGCCAAGAGATTGAGACCAGCCTGGCCAACATGGTAAGACCCCTTCTCTATTAAAAATACAAAAATTAGCTGGGGCTGGTGGTACACATCTGTAATCCCAGCTACTCTGGAGACTGAGGCACAAGGATTGCTTGAACCAAGGAGGCAGAGGTTGCAGTGAGCTGAGATTGCACCACTGCACTCCAGCCTGGGCAACAGAGTGAGACCCTGTCTCAGAAAACTAACAAACAACAACAACAAAACCAGTGATATCCTGCAAAATGAGGAGTGAGAGACTAGTTCCCAACACTATATTTTTTAAATTCCTGATGTTTATTTTTAAGGTATATTTTATACTCTATTTGAAACATCCATAGATACCTCTTGGACCTCTTCTATTTTTCTTAATCTATATTTCTACATTTTCATGGTCCTACAGCCAATTCTTTAGACATATCTACCCCTCTGTATCTCAGCATCCCATAATGTTTGATAGAGGGTAAAAATAACAGTGTGTGTGTGTGTGTGTGTGTGTGTGTATATATATATATATACACACACACACACACATAAATATATGTGTATATATATATACACACACACATACACACATATATGTGGCTATATATATACACACACACACACACACACACACACACACACACACACACACACATATATATATATATATATATATATATATATATGGCTACAGAATCTACCATCGTCCCCTAACCCCTGCTCCTCTGTCTACCTTGTCTTGCAAATGGCAGCATCAATCAATTTCAACCTGCCCAGGTCAGTCAATTATCCTCTCTTGCTTCCATTACAGCTTCTAGTTGGTCTCTGGCCTCTAGTTTTGCCTTCTCCAGGCTAATCTCTGTACAATGCTATAGTACAGTCACGGTGCCTTTTTGTTGTTGTCATTATGTTGTTGTTTTTAACTGCAGTATTATATACATAACTTAAATTTACCATCTTAACCATTTGTAAGTATATGGTTTCTGTATTGGTTGGTTCTTACATTGCAATAAAGAACTATCTGAGACTGGGTAGTTTATAAAGAGAAAAGGTTTAATTGACTCACAGTTCTACAGGCTGTACAGAAGGCATGGCTGGGGAGGCGTCAGGAAACTTACAGTCATGACAGGAGTGAAGGGGAAGCAAGCACACCTGCACATGACAACAGGAGAGAGAGAGAGAGAGAGAGAGAGAGAGAGAGACAGAGCGCACAAAGGGAGAAGTGCCACACACTTTTAAACCATCAGATCTTGTGAAAACTCACTCACTCTCACAAGAACAACAAGGGAGAAATCTGCTCCCATAGCCCAATCATCTCCCAGCAGTTCCCTTCCCCAACATTGGGAATTATAATTCAACATGAGATTTGGGTGGGGACAGACAGCCAAACTATATCAGTTCCCATACTGTTAAATACATTCAGATTGCTGCACAGCCAGTCTCCAGGACTCTTTTCATCTTTCAAAACTGAAATCTATACTCAATAAACAAAAGATCCTCACAGCCCCTGGCAACCACATTCTACTTTCTGTAAATTTGACTACTCTAGTTACTTCATAGAAGTAGAATAACATAGTTTGTCCTTTTGTGTCTGGCTTATTTCCCTTAACATT